AAATATGCCATCGTGTGTGTGTGTGTGTGTGTGTGTGTGTGTGTGTGTGTGAAAAGCGATTGGGATTTGGCTATAATACTAACTGATAAAAGACCCGTGACGTACTCAGTCTCACCACGGAAATCAATTATGCATGAATGAATAAAGTTTCCAGTTATGTACTACATTCTTTGCAGAGATCAAGCCCCATTATCGAAACGCAGTTTGGCTCTCTATGTGATACCGAGTTGGAATGTAATCTGGACACGAATGCCATCAAATGCTATCATTGTATGCTTATTTCCGGAGATGGCATAGATTTTGATTATCGGATGGTATATCTATTCCGAATTTTCAAATAAATTCATTATTAGACATATTCCGTTGGGCTTATAAAATTAAAGTTGAGACATTATTCTCCATTGGGAACACTTGAAAGGAACATTGATATTTCTATGTTTAAGCTTACCTTATTTGCACTCTCATATATTATTTTTTGACACGGCAGATGATTGGAAAATCAATATATGATGAGGTAATTGTAATANATATTTTGTTAGCCAACATTCTCTTACTTCACCAAACTCGTGATAATTTTTTGCGGTTGCTTCTTCCGTAAAATAACTTTATCAATCATGTGTATTTAGTCAACTCGTACAATTACAGTATAAGCACATCCCGCCATTCGTAACGTGATCGAATTGGTTACCAAATTTCCTTCACAGTTCATCTACATTATTGTTTGGAACTGAATACTCTATACTTGGATTAAACCGCCTTGAATCTCGTGAAAAATGTGCCACTGCATACTGTTCCGTTAAGGATTGAGCTGGTTTAAAGAGGTTTAGATACAGCGGCAAGAAACGCGTCCATCGTGCTAAAAACGCACACCACCGGAATTTCTCCTGCAACGATTAATATAATGTAAAGAAAGCAGTTTGTCTTTATCGTATCTAAGCGTTTTCCCTGTTTCAAACAGTTAATCATTGATTTCTTTGAAGTGACTATCCTTCGGACTTCACCTACACGCGCAATCCTCAGTCCATCGATTCAACCATGCACTCGGAAGCAATAGACTACCACACCACTACTCACAAGTAACTGTGAGTTAAATGCGAACAATTATTAGAGCTGGCAGATATGTAGCGATTCCGCCTGTAACCTGCATAGGAGTCCTGACTTGGTGGGACACTTCCAATTGGAGTTAACGAATTTTCATGTTTCCTCCTTCGTCGCTGTCCGGTCAAATGAACTGACTGTCTATCACTGAAAACTACAGCCGAAGAAACATGAATTGGCAGTTAGGTTCAACCATGTTATGTGCTGGTTGTATATATTTCATTCACGTCTGAGGCTATGTCCCAAACAAATCATGGTGTAATAATCTTTATAAAAAAGAATAGTATTTCGAGAGTTTCATGTGGGCTAAATACTGCCAGATTTCCCAGGCCAAGGCAGGTGAATTTTCTTGAGGAATCCACAACCGGAGCCTTCGGCCAGCCAAAGCCTGATCCACAAGGCAGCAGGGCGATGTGTGAAAACCGCAATCCATTGTGGGCCGGTGTCCAGTTCATTGGATCATAGGCCCTTTAGACAGGCTCAAACGTCCAAGGTGCTCAAGACACTTTAATGATCAATCGAGTCGGTGGCCGCCGAAACAACCGAGAAGGTGTGTGGTTCGTACGAATCTTCTTGGTTGGTTTGGAATCAGCGTTTTTGATCAACTCTCCTAGGTGAACTAGCAGTGGTTCACCAACCCGGTTATAGCTCCTGTTGTAGGCCTTTCGTCCTCTCACCTTGGTGAGAAACACCGCCACGAGAAGGCTGTGAACAGGGCTTCCTCATCAGAGACTGAGGCTGGTTGACACAGTGGTAACGCACACACCTTCCATGCGATGGATCCTACTACTCATGAGCTCTAATAAGAGCGAAACTCGAGTCTAGTGCTTTCGAGTGTGTGTGGTTGAATTGATGAACTGAGGGTTGTACGTGAAGGTGAAGTCCGAAGGATAGTCACTTCAAATCAATCAATATAATTTATCCCGCATCAAGTGGTTAGATCACCAACTTGTGACCTGGGTATCCCAGGTTCCAACCGCTCCACCGCCGTCTTCCCTATTTCTGTAATTTTGAGGCAGTCTTTGTATGGCCGCGGTCCTCTTCTTGAATGTTGGCTGTACGTTTGTATATTCAATAAATAAAAAAGAAAATAAAAAGACACATTATATTACACATTACTCACAAGTAACAATGAGTTAAATGCAAACAATTAATCTTTATTCATCTCTCATCCCACACCACAAAACGCTTGGTACTCGCTATGTTCATTGCACACGAACAAATTAAGCGTCCAAAACGAGGCCATTATCAAATCAGTGATACTCATATTCACCAATATTTGAACATAGTTTTCACGGTACTAAAACTTCGTGCTGAACTGATGATTTCAGTCAGTATCTGGAGAGCGGTTTTCCCAGCGTTCTCGCTCATTGCAATTATTTCGCTTTTATCCCGATTCATACCGGTTTATGGGTTAAACTTTATCTGATGAAAAGTACGATTCATTCATAATATCTTTGAACAGAAAGATCTGTCTGATTTCATCTTTGCCGCTTTGATCAATTTCTGTGGAGAGACATTTTTTTAAGGTTGGTCATGTGATCAAATAGTCAGGGTGATCATCGCTCAAGTCACGGCCGCTCATCTCTCCTACTTCCCGTATCTTGCATTTCATCCGTGTTCGACTACAGAGTCTATTCCAAAAATCCAAAACATAGGAAACCAATAAAACAGCTCAACAATGTCCACTTCCTGCATCTCCTGTCACAAAGAGAAACAGAATGTAACACAACTGGTTCGATTCGTGGAAGAATAAGTTTGGAAACTGAAAATTCGGTTTTTATGCGTGAATGCAAAGAAATGCTTAAGATGGTTTCACAATTTTCTAATTCTTGAGAAAATTTCTAGAAGTCGGACTTCACGAATAATTCTACAAACCCACTATGCAAATCTGGTGTTCTCATGCAACTGGATTAACGTTTGTAAACGTGTCCTAGCTGACTGTACCCGGCAGAACTGTAAAGTTGAAAGCAGTTTAAACTATTGGCTTGATTGAATCTGCTTGATCCGAGGTTGGAACACCATCATCACTGCCACTGAACATTTCTGCGATGAGGTTTCCCCCGGATCTGGGCCAGTATTTTGCCTGCCTGCATCGTAACATTTAGTCGTTACTTGATCTGTCAATCCAAGTGTATCGGCTGTTCATTGCACCTAAATCATTTGTTTAGAGTTTGCCCACTGATTGACTTATTCAGTAGTGTAATTGTGTTCGTCACAAACGTTCCGTTTACCTTGATTCACAATGTTATTGTAGTCCTACCGTGACGGTTTCAATCCACTAGGAATTCTTGAAAATTTCGAAGCATTCGGGGTTGACCGTTCGTTGCAACAGTACATCTGGAACATGTTTGCATGGTCAAATGCCTTCCCAGACATAATGTTTTCTCACGCACTCTGATTAGTGAACACAGTTCGAAGGCATTTTGATGAACAAAGTGTTTTGACCGGTATGCTTTAGTTATGCTAGTATAGAAGAAATAGCTTTAAGTTCATATTTTAAAATGTAATTTGCACTACGATCCATTTCATATTCAACTTGAACATTGACAGCTCACCTTCTGTCAGTAAAACCTAGTTATCGATTAGGGTCTCAGAACGGTATTTTTCTGTTTGACTAACGTGTGCTCTAGAACGAGTTTAGTTAAGGACGGTCAAATCTATTCTATGGTAAATATTCCTTTCATCGTTTAACAAAAACGCGCATATTGATTTAAATGGCCGTAATTCACATGCATATTTTTGGAGTCACGTGACTGACAATTGATTGCACTGGAAAACTAACGGATCACACATACATCCAAACACACATACACACACACATTGTGATATGCCTAATTGTCACTCTGATTCATGCGAATGCAATTTCAAAGAACAATGAAGATGTCTTTGATTTTTTTATCATTTTAATTCCACAATTAATAGCTTGCGATCGATTGGGATCGATGCATGTTGATTTTTGTCTGAAACAACAACAACAACAACAACTGGCACTTCTACGGTTAAATTAGTGAAATATTAACATTGATATTCCCATTTCGTTGATTTCATCAATTCCGTCAATCATGATCCGCTTGTAGATGCATTTTAGATGAACACTATTAGCCTCAAGCGGTAAATTATGACGATATTTATCAAACTGGGAGTCTGTTTGTGAAAATTTCCAACGGAAATCGGTTATTCATGTAGTTTAATAGAGTGTACAGCAAAGAGTGTAGAGGGCACTTGCAATTTTAGGCTTTCTGTTCGATAATGACTGACATGTGATAGGCAAGGCACAAAAGCACCCAACACTTGCCTGTTAAGAAAGTCAAGTCATGTGCACTGCCCAAAGTGAAATATATTCTTCCTCAGTTAGTAAGATCTCAAAAACTTAATTATGCATAGATTGCAATAACCTGAACTTTCGTGGCTTAAGTAAACCAGTGTTCAAACATGATTTGGTCTAAATAAAATTTGGTTTGTATGCTTTCTGGTATTCAAATTCGAATTAGAACTTGATCCCGGAAACCACTCAGGTTTTATTAAATCCTGCACCATGGTCAGCAGAACATTGTTGCCCGGTTCATGGCTGACTTTTATTAATGGTCACTCGAAAGCGACATCAAATTTATTGCATCAAAATGCACGGTCATGTCCCTTGGCCACAAAACTCGGTTTCCGTACTTGCTTGGAGAGCAACAACTTCCGTGAGTCTCGAATGAGATGGATTTCGGTGTCACTGTTCAAGACGACCTTTAATCTACTCCAGAGCATCGTCCACCGCTTTAAAACATATTTCTTTGCTAAAGAGAGTATTTAGCTCATTTGAACCTACGTTGTTTCCACGGTTGTTATCAGCTTACATACTACCTCACATAGAGTACGCTATTCAAGCATGGAATCCATGTCTGCAGCATGATCGTAAGATTCTGGAACTTCCAAAAAGAAAGGTCGCCAGAATGGTCAAGGGACTGCATTCCAAGACTAAGGTGTAAAGACTGGAATCATTGAGGATGTACTCAACACAGTATCGTCGAATTCCAGGGGACTTCATTTTTGTGTATCAACTAATGCAGAACCCTGATTACCCATGTCGTTCACTATTCGCCTTTTCGTCCAACACTCACCTGACAGGGCACTCATTCAAATTGGTGTTCCAAAATTTTCGACTAGAATGCCCGTGTCATTCATTTGCCCTCGGAGTGTGCAGTATCTGGAATTCTCTACCGTTTGGCGTTATTTCTGCTCCCACAATTCATTCGTTCATAAGCACAAACTGGATGAAACTTTGAAGAAGTCTTAAATTTCAACATCCGTAGCAAAGCATGAAATAGAGGAAAATTTGTGATATTCCTGATCTTTCTAAGAACTTCAAATCGATCCATTTGTACCAAATCCTATGGGACAAGAAAGTAACCGCTTGTATAAGTATTTCCCCGTAATAAAACTTTGACTTTGACGTTGACCTATACACGTGAGAACAGCGCTCTGTCCGTCACACAGTCACAACGGCGCGAACAGAGAAGTATGCAAATAAAGATAAATCGACTGTGTGTACGTACTAACATGAACAATAGAACAGTTTCCTTTTGCTAGATTCTGTGCGTTTCCATTAAAAATAATTGATTTTGATTTACGTTTCGGACCAACTTTGAGGCCCATTGCCCATTCATCGTTTATACAGTTCTGGTGTGTAGTTGTGATCCTTTTCAATAATTCGCAAAGTGTGAAAATTTGATTTCAGACACTAGACAACATCAATGATTGTTTCCGAGGTACACAAGTGGTTGGCCGCAAAAGGAGTTCAATACCAGGATTTCTGTTCTAAGCCATACGGATATTTTGATTTTCATAGTGAGAATTGAAACCGATTTGTATGAACGGTTTATTTAGGAAACTGGTTCATGATGCCTAATTATTTAATCGTTTTTCACACAGTAGTTCATATATTATTATCTGCGAAAAGATATTACTACTTTCATGCTTATCAGGCTAAATCTAGTCAGTGTTGTGATGTGCTATTCACACTTGTGAGTAGTATGTTTGGATTAGGTAAAAGAATGTGAGTAGCGGTTTCTCACAACGATCAAAAATGAGAACAAGACCTCTCAGGGCAAATCAGTGTGATAAAAAATTGTAGTTAAAGAAAAAGCACATCTACTGTCGAGCTGGTCTGTCAATTCGAAAATATAATGACCTGTTCCAAA